AGGGAGGGAGCAGCGGGGCAGGAGCTGGAGCATCCAGCGGGCATTTTGGGGGAATAAAACCGGGAAGAGCAGCTGGGAGAGCTGGCAGGAGGAAGCAGAGGGCTCTGGATAAGTTTGCATGGCTAATCAGTCTCGGGCAGCTCTTTCATGAGGCTCCTCACTCATCAACACCTCGGTCAAGGCGCTTTTAGGGCCATTGGAAAGGTCCCGGAATTCCCACAGCCGCACCCAGTGCTCAAACTGCGGCTTCTCCTTCCCCCCTGGATCTCAGAGCCAATCCTAAAGGTGCAGAATTTAATATGGAACATAAACCAGGCGATTTGGGATACAATCAAACATCATAAAGTCACCGCAGGACAAAGTTCCTTACCAGATTCTTGGTTTCTCATTACAGCCCAGCTGAACAAACATAAAATTGACAGACAATTAGTTATTAGCCAATGATTAACCTCTGATTTTAGCAAAGTTTTTCTATCTACCTTTAATTTTAACGAGGCCTATTTATTTCTTTTAACTAGATTTAACAAGGCTGATTTTTAATTAAGGCCTCAGCTTCTCTAAAATCTTAAATTCTTCTGAGCTTATGTCTCACAGAAACCTGATGGAGCATATAGAGAGGTCCAGGATATGAGAGCTGGCAATAGGACAGTAGAGAATTTGTATCCTGTACTGGCAAAAGAGTATTAATGCTAGAAATAATCTCGTTTGCTCTTTCAGATTTAAGGGATGAATGAAGCCAGCCAAAAGATATTTGTTTTTGAATAAGAAAATTCTAAAGGCAGATGAAGGACCCAGCTCATTCACTCTGTGCTGTCTCAAAGAGCCAAGAATTCCCTCAGCATATTCAGGAACACCATGGAAAGGATCTGGAGTCCTGGGAAGCCCCAAAGGGAGAGGGACAGTTGCTACACTGTGATGTTCTAACAACCAAACCCACGAGGCGCGTGTGGACTGGACCGTAAGCCTCCTAAAATTTTTGGGTCTGGGGGAGTATGGAGTAGCCCAAAAGAAAGCCCAATGGTAAAACAGTTACTTATATAGTTACAGGGCTATGAAGTGAATGTCAGACAGAAAAACTGGGGCAAGACTGTAGAGAACATTCTAACAGAAGGTGGGCACGATATTTTAATAAAGGCCTGTCTGCACAAACCAGCCTTTGGTATAAGTGGTGGTATTAAGGGCTAATGTCCTTGAAACTCTCCTGCAAGAGAGAGAATAAAGCAAAACCATGTCCTTGTGTATGAGAGAAAGAATGTAAAACTGTGGATTGGCCAATAGTAACTTGCTTAGCCCGCAGACCCTGGCAAACCCTATAAAAGTGTGCTAAAGATAGAAATAAACGACGTTCACTTTTACTTCTGTGAAGACTCGTGGATAGCCTGAGCAGCTTTTCAATACAAGACCACAAGGAAGCAATGTGCCAAACCCTAAAAGCTCAGACAGAGAAGGAACTAAGAACATTTCCCAGCATGATGTGGTGGTGCAGGCACAGCCATGAGCCCCTGGACAATTTCCATTTCAAGAGGAAAGAGAACAAACCTCTCCAAGTTCCTGATGGCAGCCTGTCAGCGGCCTTTGGAGTCCCAAGGGCAGCCCGAGCTCCAGGAGTGTCGCTGTAGGACACGCAATGACTCACACAGACACGGCTCCCCTGTGACAGGGAAAAACTGGTTTTATTCTTCCAACTTCAGTATTTATAGATTCTGGGCAATGACCAGGGATTGGATAGTCAGGTTAGCACCTTCCCAATCACACTGGTCGTGCGAGACGTCCATCAAAGGACGTGTACCAGAAAGAATGAATACATATCTGTGTTTACAGTCACTGTCCTGGGAAAGTTCTTAGAAATTATGTCAAGATCGAAAAACTGAGTTTTCAGAGTGACATAGGTGGGGACGGCTTGGGTCCGGGAGAAATCCTTCTCCAGTCGTAATTTTCAGAGGCAGAAGCTCATTGTCGTCATGGTCCCCTGGACACGAACAGCGGCTCTTTCCCAGGGGAAAGAAAACTCCCCCCAGCACAAGTTCCTGCTGTCAGTTTGTCAGAGGCCTTTGGCATTCAGAGAACCACCCGAGTTCCAGCTGGGGATGGTTTGGGACCAGGAGACTCCTGCTGCTTTCTTAATTCTCAGAGGCAGAAACCCACTCGCCACCACGGGCCCCAGGACGCGAACAGCGGCTCTTTTCCAAGAGAAAGAGCATTTCCCCCAGCACAAATTCCTGCTGTCAGTTTGTCAGAGGTGTTTGGCACTTCAAGAGCAGCCCGAGTTCTAGGTGGGGGTGATTTGGGTCCAGGAGAAATCCTGTTCCTTTCCTAATTTTCAGAGGCAGAAACCCGCTGGCCGCCACGGGCCCCTGAATACAAACGGCGACCCTTTTCCATGTTAAACAAAATTCACACCCCCAGTTCCTGATGTCATTTTCTCCGAGGTGTTTGGCACTCCAAGGGCAGCCCGAGTTCTCAGTGAGGGCAGCTTGGGTCCAGGAGGAATAAAAATAAAAGGAATAAAAATAAAAGGAATAAAAATCAGGAATTTTGTAGCACCTCCAATAACTGAGCTCTGTCCTCAGCTGCTCATTTACGTATTTAAGCCCTTGTTTAATATTCTAATTAGCGGTTAATCAGCTTTCAAGAGAAAACAAATGGTGATTAGCTCATCTTCACCTCCTCCAGGTGATTTGGGCTCATCCATGCAGCAGCCCTGGGAAACTTTCCTGGTGTACCTGAATTATTCATGGCCACGGGAATGTCACCGGGATGGGATTTCGGGATGGTCCCCGTGGGTGACCGTGGATAACCGAGGGGGACACGGTGCCTTTTGGGATAAAAAACGTCCTTTAGATGAGATTTTGGGAAAACAAATTCCTCCTTGGGAGGGTGGGAAGGGGCTGGGATGGATTTCCCAGGGAAACTGGCTGCCGCATTCCTGGAAGTGTCCAAGGCCAGGTTGGAACAAGCTGGGATACGGGAGGGTGTCCCTGCTCATTTCATTTAATTATTCCGGACTATCGTTTATCCCAAGTCTTCCTTTCCTCTTTATCTGCAGCTTTCCAAGGAGCTGGGGAGCAAAGGAAAGCTCTTGTGGGTGATCTCAAGTCTTGAGGAAGAATTGGTGCAATCCCAAAGTTCCCTTTCCCAAAGATTCCCAAAGAATCCTTTATTCCCTTTCCCTTCTTCCCTTTTGCTTTTCCCATCCCACAGAAGGCAGGCAGGACACTGGACTCTGCCCATCCGTATTCCCAGGAATTTTGTGGCTGCAATAGCAGATTGTTAAAGCCTTTAGAATAATTTGGAAAGGTTCCACCTGGTTTTGCTTGGAAACGAAGCCATACCTGGCCGTGGTTTGGATATCTGGGTGCAGGGATCAGCTGAGGTGTGCTGGCTCCCAGGAGAATCCACGAGGGACGAGCAGGTGGGAGAGAGAGCCAGGAGCTCCAGAAAGTCACTTTTCAGAATTTTAATTAATTCCTGATTGTTTTAGTCTTCCCAGACGCCGGCTTTGCCAGGCTCTGGATTCCCAGCTGCCGGAGCCTCCTGGGATGCACAGGATGGATCAGGAAGGTCAAAGCTCTCTCACCACTGCTCTCTGAACTTTCTGGGAAGCTCTGCTGGCTCTGGAAGCAGAGGGATCAGCTGGAGCAGCATCCCTGGATGTGCTGGAGCTCATCCCATCCCTGCCTGGGCTGTGCCGAGGGCAGGGCTGAGGAGGCCCGAGTGTTCCTGGATCCTCCTGGATGCCCAGGATGCCCCACAGGTACAGCCGAGCTTTTGCAGGGGCTGTCCTGGGAAGGCTTTTCCCTTCCAGCCCTCAGTCCCACCTGGAAGCGGCTGTTCCCTGCTCCAGGACCAAAATTCAGCTCCCGGCCCCTTCCAGCCCTCGTTCCCTTCTCCCAGCCCCTTCCAGAGCTTCTGTGTCCATCCTAAAAGTGGGAAGAGGTCAAAGGAAGGGAATTCTCCCTTTTTTCCCCCAGAGAGAAGCTGGGAGCTCAGCCCAGTCCCGGGGGGTGCTCCAGCCCTTTCCAGAAGGAAAACCGCGATTATCGGGAATATCCCAGGCTGGCAGAGCGAATTCCACAGGCTGGCGGCTCCCTCTCCTGGGCAAAAGAGGCAGGAAGGGCTGGGATGTGCCCCAGATGTGCGGCACAGCTGGAGCAGGATTCCCCGGAGGGCTTGGACAACCGGAATTCCTCAGGAATTCAACTGGAATTCCAGGGAAAAGGATCGGGATTAATCTCCCCGGAAAGGGAGGCTCAGCCAAGCTGTTCCTTCCCCTCTTCCAACAGGGATTTGGGACCGGGTTGGATGTTTTCCAGCTGTTCCATCTCCACACTTGGGTTTCAATCTCTCTGGAATGGCATCCAAGCTGCTTCCTTATGGGATGAAGCAACTTCAACCCTCAAAAGTTTGCACCCCCCCCATGGCTTTGCTTTGATCCAGAGAAATCCACACATCATTCCATTTATTAAGAATCCAGCTTGGTTTTATTGTCCATTTTTTCCAAAAGTTGGTGTTTTCCTCATCACAATTATAAAATATTCCTATTTTTATCCCTATTTTACACTGGTATGGGAGTGACCAAGTTGGAGCTGGGAATTCTCTTAAATAATCAAACCACGATTTTAGCAGGGGGCTTTAAAAATTCCAATTTAAAAAAGAAAAGGTTAAGAAAGGAAAGGATAAAAAAGGAATTTCCACGGGTTCCTTCAAACATCACAGGGAGAGGGGTTTATAAAATTTATTCCAATTTATTTTTTGGGGGGGAAAGGGCACAGGGAACAGGTTTGGAACCCCATGGATGGAACCAGGATTTGAGGCCACCCTTTATTCCCAAACTGTGCCAGCAACGTGTTCCCACCCCAAAATTTCCTTCCTATGGCTGTGTTCTCCCTGTGGCCGCCCGCACTCCGGCATTCCCAAGAACTGGGAAAGCATGGAAGCTGCTCCTCATGGAATTGCAGTGTTGTGGTAACTTTGGGAACGGATTTTCCACGGTGAATTCCTCAGTACAGGGGGCCCTTCACGCTCCCCGGCTCAGTGAGGCGAGCGGCCGCGTAGGCCGAGGCTCCCAGGCACGCGGCCGGCTCGCAAAATCCCGGGAATCCCGGGGGGCCCGGCAATCCCGGCCTGCCAGCCTCGCCCGGGGAGCCCGGCAGGCCCCGCTCCCCTGCTTTGCCATCCACAGCATGGCCCGGAATGCCCGGGAGACCTGGAATGGGAATGGCATCTTCAGAGAGGGGAATGCGGCTGTTGGGATGCTGAGCCTTGGGAAATAGGGATTGGGGTTTGGGAATGGGAGGGGTGTGGGAAGAGCAATTCCAGAGAGCAGGAAAAAGGTGGCAGAGATGAGGAAGAAGGAAGGGAAGGATGATCCTGGTAGGAGCTTGGTGGGATGAGGCCTAGGCAGATTTTGTGGGATGAATCTGGGAACATTTACAGGATGAACCTGGGCAAGTTCTGTGAGATGAAGCTGATCTTTTGTGGGATGAAGCTGAGGTTTTGTGGGATGAGACTGTTCAGGTTTTGTGGGATGAAGCTGAGGTTTTGTGGGATGAGACTGTTCAGGTTTTGTGGGATGAAGCTGAGGTTTTGTGGGATGAGACTGTTCAGGTTTTGTGGGATGATCTTGTGCCGGTTTTATGGGCAGCTTTTGTGGGAGGATCCTGGGCAGGTTTTGGGTTGATTTATGGGATGAGCCTGGGCAGTTTTTTTGGGATGAACTGGGGCAGTTTTTGTGGGATGAACTGGGGCAGTTTTTTGGGATGAACTGGGGCAGTTTTTAAGGGATGAACTGGGGCAGTTTTTGTGGGATGAACTGGGGCAGTTTTTTGGGATGAACTGAGGCAGTTTTTGAGGGATGAGCCTGTGTAGGCTTTGTGGGATAAATCTGAGCAGGCTGACAGGATGGAGCCGGGCAGGTTTTGTGGGATGGAGCCAAAGGTCCCCGGGCACCCCTGGGCTCATCACCCCAAGGTGCCAAAGGTCACTTGGCCGTGCCAGTGCTGGGGACACCTGGGCTCACCTGGGATCCCTGGAGGACCCGGCATTCCTGGGTGGCCACGGCCAACTTCTCCCCGCTCGCCCTTCTCTCCTCTCTTCCCTGTGGGTATAAAAAGGAGGGAAGGAATCCGTGGAAAGCCCAGCTGGGAGAGGGGATGGGGACAAGCGTGGCAGTGTCACCCCCAGGAGGGTTTGTACCTGGCACCTGCCACCTCCACCCACCTTTGGGTCCGACATTCCCGATCTGCCCGGCAGCTCCCAGGATTCCAGGGACACCTCGGGGTCCCATGGGGCCGTGGGGACCCTGCTCACCAGGCGGCCCTGGGGGCCCGGGGGGGCCAGGGGGTCCCATGGCCCCGACCCCACCCAGGGCAGCTCTCTTGGCACTCACAGCCACCTCTGCCAGCTGCTCTGTGGGGCAGAGAGGGGCCAGGCTGGGATCCATGGGATGGGATCCATGGGATGGGATCCATGGGATGGGATCCATGGGATGGGATCCATGGGATGGGATCCATGGGATGGGATCCATGGGATGGGATCCATGGGATGGGATGGGATGGGATCCATGGGACGGGATCCATGGGATGGGATCCATGGGATGGGATGGGACGGGATCCATGGGACGGGATCCATGGGATGGGATCTATGGGATGGGATCCATGGGATGGGATCCATGGGATGGGATCCATGGGATGGGATCCATGGGACGGGATGGGATGGGATCCATGGGATGGGATCCATGGGATGGATCCATGGGATGGGATGGGATCCATGGGATGGGATCCATGGGATGGGATCCATGGGATAGGATCCATGGGATGGATCCATGGGGCCCCACTCAGCCCTCACCTTGCAGCATCTTCAGCACCACATCCACGATGTGCTGGTCCCCAGCATCCCGGCCCTGCCAGGAAGGGAATTTCGCTCCTTCTGTCCCCTGCCAAAGCCACTCCCAACCCAAATCCCAATCCCAGGTCACCTTCCCGCCCTGCTCTTCCCCATTCTGCCCCAGTGCAAGTGCTCCATGCTCAGCTCGCTCCCTGCATCCCGCTCGTGGCATTTGAGTCCAAAATGTTTTTTTAGGGAAAAATCCCAACCCTGCAAACCCCTGCTGCTGGCTGCTTTATATAGGGACGGTTTATGGATGCCATACACAGAATTCTTCCCCAGGAAGGCAGGATCCCACCCCTCCCAGCTCCTCATTCCCAGAGGGATTGGGTGGGAAGGAGACGACATTCCTGCAGAGCTGGGGCAGTTGAGGGCAGCGGGAGGGCGAGGAGGGATGTGGGATCGGGATACTCACGGCTGTGCCCCGCGGCCCCGGCATTCCCGGCACTCCGCGCTCCCCCACGAGCCCCCGCGGGCCGGGCGGGCCGGGATAACCCCGAATTCCCGGTGCTCCGGCATCCCCCGAAGGGCCCGGAAAGCCGAGGTCTCCCTGGATGCCTTGCTGGAAGAGGGATGGAGGAACAGGGGCATGAGGGGCTCAGCCTGTCCCGGGGCTGCACCCCTAGAGCTCAAAATCTCCCAAAAAACACAGGCGGGGCTGGATCCCACATGGGGCTGAGCCTGAACCCAGGGCTGGATCCCAAATGGAGCTAGGGCTGAACCCAGGGCTGGATCCCAAATGGGGCTAGGGCTGAACCCAGGGCTGGATCCCAAATGGAGCTAGGGCTGAACCCAGGGCTGGATCCCAAATGGGGCTGAGCCTGAATCCAGGGCTGGATCCCAAATGGGGCTGAACCTGAATCCAGGGCTGGATCCCAAATGGGGCTGAACCTGCATCCAGGGCTGGATCCCAAATGGGGCAGAGCCTGAATCCAGGGCAGAGCCCAGAGGCTGAGCCTCAATTCACAGTTTAACCCCAAAGAGGAACTGAGCCCAAACCCAGGGCTGATTGTGCTCACTGGCCCCCATCTCCAGGGGAAAACGTTCCCTCAGCACCCAGCAGCTCCATGGATCACCAGCACCTCAGCCAGGAGGATCCACTCTGGCTGAGGATCCCACAAATCCTCTCAAGTTGTGGGGCCCCCTTGGTGCCAAACCCCCCCCTCACTCACCTGTCCCTTGGGTCCTGGCTCTCCTGATTCCCCCTGGGGACAGAGGACACAGGAAAGGCAATGAGGACACAGCAGGAATTTAGGGATGGAGCTGGGATTTAACGCCAGGTGGGATCCCCCAGCATGGGAAGGGATCCCCCAGCATTCTCAGGAATCATTTGAATGCACCCACCTTCTCTCCCTTGAGCCCTGCCAAGCCGTGGACACCTGGATCTCCCTAAAGGAAAGGCAAGGAGAGATGGGAACATTCCCAAAGTCACCCCCACCCTCTGCAGCTTTGGAAACCATCTGGGAATTCATGGAGAATTCATGGAGAAGGTTCCTGGAGCCAGTGTTAAACCCAGCTCTGTTAAACCCAGCTCTGTTAAACCCCTGGGATGTACTCACAATGCTGCCCTTGGGGCCGGTTTTCCCTGGAGAGCCCTGGGAAAAGGGAAAAACGGGATCAGCTCAGTGCAGAGCAGCATCCCCAAGAAGCCACCCTGCTGTCCCTGGAGCTGTCACCTTGTCTCCTTTGACTCCTGGCAAGCCTTGGGGTCCTGGGATGCCCGGTGGGCCCTGCTCGCCCTTCGGCCCCTGGAAATCCAAGGAATATGAGAAAATGAGTGAGGAGACAATGGAAAGGATTTTACCCATCAGGGAATTCTCCCCAAGGCATCGAGGTGCACAGGCAGCTCCCCATCCTTCAGCTGATCCCGACAACCCAACCTCCCCTAAGTCCCAGCTCTGAGGGGGAACAAGGCACAAAACTATGGAGAAACCGTGCCAAGAGCAGTGACCTTCCAGGGATGGATTCCTGTCCCCAGGAAAAGCACCAAAAACCTTTTTTTTTTGGCTGTTTTTCCAGGGCAGGAAAGCTCTGGAGATGGGCTGGGCGGCCTCCCTGCTCTCCTGGGACAGGAGGAAATTCCTGTCCCGGCTGGGGCTGCAAACCCAGCGTGGTCCCATTAATCCCTGAGCTATTCCCTAATACCTCAGCAGCATGACAAGCATGGGATTGACCCCAGGATCAAAGGGGGAGGTCTGGCTGTGTCCCGCTGATCCAGGCTTGGCATCCCCCACCCTGGGGCTGAGCATCCCCCATGTCCCAGCCTGGCTTTGGGGACAACTCAGAGCATCCCACATGTCCCAGCCTGGCTCTGGGGACAGCTCAGAGCATCCCACATGTCCCAGAGTGGCTTTGGGGACAACTCAGAGCATGTCCAGTGTCCCAGCCCAGCTTTGGGGACAGCTCAGAGCATGTCCAGTGTCCCAGTCCAGCTTTGGGGACAATTCAGAACATCCCCAGTGTCCCAGCCTGGCTTTGGGGACAGCTCAGAGCATGTCCAGTGTCCCACCCCAGCTCTGGGGACAACTCACCAGTTTTGGGGACAACTCACCACTCTGCCCTGCTCGCCGGGGGGCCCCACGAGGCCACGCTCACCCCTGTCACCCTGCGGGAAAGGAGCGGGGTCAGGGCCAGCCCCTCCTGGCATGGCCACATCCCTGTGGTGTCCCCAGCTCACCTTCAGCCCGGGGACACCCTGCGGGCCCTGCTCACCCCGAGGTCCGGGCTCACCCTAAAAATGGGAAAGAAAATCCCCACAAAAGATGGGATTCACCGGTGTCCCGTGCTCCTTGGCCTTCCCCGAGGGAGGGGTGGCCCTGTCCTCGTCGCCACCACAGGGTGGTGACAGGAGCAGCGATCCCAGGAGACTCCCAGGAGGAGCAGGGTGGGAATAAAGGGCTCAATTCCGCTTTCAGCTTCCAGGAACCGGGGGAAAAAAAAAGGAGAAAAGAGAGAGATCAACCCCGAGGCTGTGCCCGGGAGGGACATGGGGACATCTCGGTACTTACGAGCTGCCCTGGGGCACCGGTGACACCGGGGTGGCCCCGAGGACCAGCTTCACCCTGGGACAGGAGAGAGGAGGGTCAGTGGGGACAGCGAGGGGACAGTGGGGACGAAACAAACAAAGGAGGGGACAAGAGCCTCTGGGTGGGTGCTCAGAGCCGTCACCCACCTTGTCACCTGGGCCACCTTTGCTTCCCGGCTGGCCAGGCAATCCCTAAGGAAATAAAGCTGGGATCAACCCCTGGGCACAGCTCAGTGTCCCCACAGTGGCCCTGGCACCACTGACCTTGGCACTGGTGTCACCCCTGGGTGTCACCCCTGGACACAGCTCAGTGTCCCTGCAGGGTGCTGGCACCCCTGGCAGAGGGGTGTCACCCCTCAGGGGACAGGCTGGGGGGTCCTGCACTCACAGCTTGTCCCCGGTGTCCCGGCGTTCCCGGGCGTCCGGCCTGTCCTGTGCCACCCTGTGAGGGGGAGAGGGGGTGTCACCGGGAATGGGGTGCCCACAGGTAGGCAAGGGACTCCTGCCCAAGGGGGGACACTGCCCCTGACCCTGTGGCCAGGAGCTGCCACGCCAAGGGACGTTATTCCCTTTGCCATTCCCAGCAGGGACATTCCCTGTGCGAGCACCTGCAGCTCTCACCTTCACTCCAGGAATACCTGGGGTGCCATCCTTGCCGTCGATGCCTGGGAGGCCCTGGAAGGGGAGAAGAGTCACTCATGTGACACCTCAAAGGGACCCAAAGGCTCCCGGTGGGGACAAAAATAAATGTGGGAAGTGAAAAGAACAGTCCAGGTCTGTGCTGGAGGGGACAAGGACATGCGATGGCACAGGTGTCACCAGCTGAACTCACATTCTCGCCCTTGGGGCCGGTGTCACCCTGGGGTCCCCTGATGCCACGGCCACCCTAGAGCAGGAGGGATCGAGTGTCAGTGTCCTGCTGGGGATGGAGCTGGGAGATGGAGATGCCCCTCGAGGGCACCCCAATCCCTTTCCATGTGGGAACGGTGCCAGGCTGGGGAAAAGGGGACAGTGACACTGGAGGGGGGACACCTACCAGCTCTCCCTTGTCACCAGGGTCCCCAGGTGGTCCCTTGGGGCCTTCCCTGCCCTGGAGGAGAGAGGAAAGCAAGGATTGAGCAGGGAAAAGTGGGATCCCAGAGCACCCAGGGGTGAGGGGGCACCCACCGGCCGCCCCGCTGCTCCGATGCTGCCGACCATACCCTTGTACCCAGCGGGACCCTGGAAAGAGAGCATGGAAAGGTCAGCTCCCATCCCAATCCATCCTTGCTCCAGAGGGAGCATCCTTGAGATGGCCCAGCATGGGAAGGATGCCGCAGGGAATGATTTCCATGGGATCTCGATCCCGGAGCCGGGGGATGCCACCTGGCACTCACCGTCTCTCCCTTGGGTCCTGCCATGCCAGGATAACCCCTGAGGCCCTGAGGTCCCTGCAGGGAAGGAAACCACAGCCAATTTAGCTGGAAATAAACCCCCCGAGCAGCCCAGGGGGAAGCAGCAATTACAGCAAAACCCGACACTGGGAATCCACCAGTTTTGCCAAACACGAGGAATTCCAGTCCCTCCTAATTCCAGAGCCCCCCACCAGGTGCTTTTCCAGCTGTCAGTTCCATAACTCCAGCGGGCCCAAACTGGAGCCACTTCCCTGTGCCAGAGCTCTTGGCTTCAAAGTGGTTTTGCCCCTTCCTGGTGTGGAGGGCTTAGCCCAGTAATTGCTTTTCATCTTCAAAGTGCTCCAAGAATTCCAGTGGCTTTAATTCCCCTCAAGGCAAGGAGGACTCAGTGTACAGCAGGGATTTATCCCAACTTATCCCTGGGAACAACCCAGGTGCCCGTGGAGCTCTCCAGAGGGAGAGGTGGTGGCATCCACAGCTGGGAGAGGGATGGGATGAAGGCTTTGCTTCAGTCCTAGTGCTGGGAGGGGGGACATGCCAGTGTCACCTCCCTGGTGTTGGGGACAAGGACAAAGAGCCCACTCCCAGTTCCTGCAGCACTTGGGGGACAGGGGAAAAAGGAATACAGGATTTACCGGAGGGCCTGGGACTCCTTGTTCTCCAGAGGCACCAACGTCTCCCTTGGGGCCCTGGGAATGGAGAGAAAAAGAAATGTTGGAGGGAGAGGGGGGACAAAGCACCCTGGGGACACCACAGCCCCCACCTGGCACCCAGCAGGGGATGGGGACAGGGGGCCCTGCCCAGGAGGCCACCATGGGAAGGTCACCGTGGTCTCCCATTCCCTCGTTTCCCATCTCCCTCTTTACTCTTTTCTTCCTTTCCCTTCCCAAAACTCCTTCCCTGGGTCCAGCCCCACAGGGACAGCCACACCTGGATCCTTCTGGGATCTGGCTGGGATCCAGCTGAGATCCTGCTGGGATCCTGTGGGATCCTGCTGGGATCCTGCTGGGATCCAGCTGAGATCCTGGTGGGATCCTGGTGGGATCCAGCTGAGATCCTGGTGGAACACTCACCGGCTCTCCCTGCTTGCCGGGCTCTCCGAGGGCCCCGGGGCGGCCTCTGTGTCCCTGAGGGGAGGAGAGGAAATCCATGAGGAAAACCCCGGCAAAGCCGCAGGGTCCTGGCACCATCCTGGTGGCCACATCCCACAGAGCCATCCTGCCACCACATCCCACCCTGGCGTGCCCAGAGGGGACGTGGTGGGACTCAGAATCTCACAGGTGCCATGGAATGCTCTCAGAATCCCACAGGTGACATTGGGGGGGCTCAGAATCCCACAGGTGACATTGGGGGACCCAAAATCCCACAGGTGACATTGGGGGGGTTCAGAATCCCACAGGTGACATTGGGGGAGCTCAGAATCCCACAGGTGACATTGGGGGGGCTCAGAATCCCACAGGTGACATTGGGGGACCCAAGAATCCCACAGGGGCCTTGGGGGGGTTCCAGATTCCCCCAGGGGAATTGGGGGGGCTCAGA